TGGAGACACTTTCCCTTTGTCATAGGTTTGAACTTCTTGCTGGAGGAGCTACATACTTCCTGCAGAGTAACTTTATAGACTCCAGAACTGGAGTTAGAAATGAGTCCTTCCCACAAGTAGGGCACCATTTCTGGACAGTCATGGAAGAGAGATTTCTTCTCTATTCTATACTTGGTCCTTGTCTGGCTGCCTATGGGTTTTATTTTTAAAGCCCAGGACTCACGTATACATTCTCTAAACAGCTCCCGATTAGGGCATCTGAAACCTGCTCACAGGTAATATGTAGGAAATTGCCTTTCCCTTTTCCCCCAACTTCAAACTGTGTTTCTTGTAAGTTACTTTTTAAAAGAATTCCTGACTTCCTTGGGATTCCAAAACACTTTTAGGGCACAATTAGTTTGAGGAGAAATTTAAGGAGCATTTGTCAGAAATAATAGAATACACTTATTTTTAAAATAAAATATTAGCTTACACCAAAAATAACATTCTATTGTCTCTGATTTTGACAGAACATCACAACTTGAAACAACTTGGAAGCCTCAGAAGTAGGAAAAAATGCAAAGAGAGCAATTTACCATAAATTTTAGGGAGGCGGCTTCATTTTTATAGTACATTATGATAAGATAAAAATCAGTATAACATTGAAGAATTCCACTGACATTTTCTCAACTACTCTAATATGGCTTTATAGCTTTTGAGTGTCAGAATTATTACCTCCAATTTGGCTTACAGTATAAGAAAAAAATCAAGTATGAGAAAACATCCTGAATTTTAAAGTTAAGAATTTAAAATATATGGGTGTATATTTCATTCCTAGATAGTATAATTCATTCAAATGAAAAATAAATCAACTCATTTGATTCAACTACAAATTCCCTTATAGTCCTACAAACTTCAACACTGAAACCTTTAACCTGTACTGATGATTGTAACCCCTCCCGTTAAAAAAGATGAATTTTTTTAAATGGCTTGAAAACTGCAATTCTAATATCCTCTCTCTCTCTCTCTCTCTCTCTCTCTCTCTCTCTCTCTCTCTCTCTCTCTCTCTGTGTGTGTGTGTGTGTGTGTTTGTGTATTTGTGTGTGCGTGTGTTTAAACTTAGAACCTTAACTAGAGCCTTCAGCATGCTAGACAAGCACTCTCCACTGTCCTTGATCTTCAGCCTGAAAACTAAATTCTCAAGAGCAGCATAGAAACCGTCCTCACTGTCTTAGTTATGGTTTTTTGTTTTGGTTTGGTTTTTTTGTTTTTTTGTTTGTTTGTTTGTTTGTTTTTTTTTTTTTTTTTTTTTTTGCTGTGAAGAGACACCATGGCAACTCTTATAAAGGAAAACATTGAATTGGGGCTGGCTTACACTTTCAGAGGTTCAGTCCATTATCCTCATGGTGAGATATGGCAGCATGCAAGCAGACATGGTGCTGGAGAAGGGGCTGAGAGATCTACATCTTGATTTGCAGGCTAGAAGAGTGAACTGTAACACTGGGTGTAACTTAAGCAGAGGAGACCTCAAAGCCCGCTCCCATAGTGGCACACTTCCTCCAAGAAGGCCACACCTCCTAGTAGTGCCACTCCCTTTGGAGGCCATTTTCTTTCAAACCATCTTTCTCACTGAGCCTGATATTTTTCAAATGAGATCTCTGTGACCTGAATCTGTAGGGGTGCACCCAAGAACATATAATAACTTAGAAAGACAAGATTAGAACCTAAGTCTCTCATTCTCAAACAATATATTTTCATAAATCACAGAGCCTCTCAGAAAACTAAAGGTTGGGGACCAGCTGGGTAAGAGCTACAGAGAGAGTAACCAGCCACTCACAGGCAGCTTAGAGATCAGATTCCTAACTTGGCAGTCACACTTTAAGCCTTCTAACTTACCAATTCCATCCTAACATTGCTGTCTAATAAATATTATTTAATATTGTGGAACTCAAAATTAAGCCCTTCAAGCCTTAGTGGTTCTCAGGAGAAGTCATCTGCCTCTTAGGTCCAAAGAAGTATTTGCAAAGACTAGATAACATTGTTCAGTTGTCACAGCTGGGCAAGGGAGACAGACCAGTGACAGAAAACAGGGACTAGGCATCCTGGACTAGAAGTCCTCAAATTTTAAATAGAAAGGCCACTTGATAAATGGCAATGTATTTACATAGAGTAAATGAAATAAGAAACTTACATAATAAAAAAAGACCAAGGCAGATGGCAGATGGCAGTGCACGCCTTTAATCCCAGCACATCTCCCAGCAGAGGCAGATGGATTCCTGTGAGTTTGAGGCCAGCCTGGTCTACAAAGCAAGTTCTAGAACAGCCAGAGTTGTTACACAGAGAAACCCTGTCTCAAAAAGAAAAAGAAAAAAGAAAAGACCACATATTCAGATTCAAGGCCACACACTTAGTAGTTTTCTTAAATCAGATGATAAGCTGTGTTACTGTTTAAGAATTTGTTTAAATTCTAGAGTGAAACAGAGAGTACTTGGCATGATTTGAAGAGAATGGCTTCTCTATAGCCACCCAACCCACTGCCACAACCATCTCCATGAATATGGTTCCCCTTAGGACAATGATAGCTTTGCTACAAAGGGCTTCATGTAGCGGATAGAAAGTGGATGGCTTTCTTAGTCGTGTTAGCTAAGGAAGAAGGGGACTAATAACACGTTGTGTGGTTGGAATCACAGTTTGTTCTATTTGGTTAGCTGCCCTGTCTCATGCCATTGTTGCATTAGGGTTGCCCTGCCCTGCTGTGTTACGTGTTAAGTATTTCATCGGATCATATTTGTGGTGAACTGATTTGCTCTGAGGAACAAGCTGAAATGAGTTTGGTAGTGTCAGCAGTAGGAAGAGTTTGTTCATTTTTCTATGGTACATTCCTCTTTCGGAGTCAAATATAGGATAGATGTTTGGTATTGAACCATCAAAGAGATTTTATTAAATGTCAGAAACATGCTCGGTGGTTCAATCACACAGCTGTTTATTATTTTTGCAGTGTTGATTCAGAATGGATCAAATTCACTCTAACCTCTGCATAATTTGAAATTAGACTATCACTAATAATGGCATTCCTGCAACTTAGCAGGCAGCTTCTGAGGACAACTTTTGTACATTCTCTGATTACAATTTTAAGTGCAGGTCATGCAAACTATGAAATGTTTATCAGTCATAGTGTGAGTGTTCTCTAGCCTACTTAAGTAACTACATGTTATTTGTTCTAGCTGTCACAACAGAACCTGGGTTAACAGCCTTAGTGATAAAGGGTCCTGACTAAGAAGCCAGTTCCAGCATCAACAATATTTGAAACCAGCTGGAGATGAAGTCTTCTTTTTGCCATCTTCTAACCATAATCTGAGTTTGACTCAATGTGATGTTAACTTTCAATTCACCTCAAGATAACTTTGAGCAGATGTGTAAGACATGAACCATGATCGCTGCTGATTCATTTTGGAAAATGTCAGCATAATTTTGGCATCTTCATTTACCTATTTAGCCTTCTTATTTTCTAAATTAATAACACTTTTAACATTGCTCAATTATGTAGTAAGAATTATGGAGATTCTAGTACATATTAGGAACTATTCTTGTCCTAGAAAATTAAAAAGCAACAGACGTTTTATCAGCCATTAGGTACTTTTCACGGTGCTGTGTTCTATGGAAAGGAGAAAAAAGGAAGTAATTAGTTGAGAAAGGAAGTGACGATGACAGGTAGTTGTAGTGGATACAGCATTTTAAAGTAGTACTGAGAGAGAAATGAGCCTTCAGTAGATAGATGGGTAGGCAGGAGCATGTGCAAAAGAATGCATTTATGAAAGAACTCAGGATGCCAGACATGATGGTACATGCCTATAAT